ATGGTGACCCCTATGTAATGTTACTTTCATCTCAGATGAAAAAAAAAAAACCTCTTTGGTGATCCGTAATTGTATTAACAGAGGTCGGTTTTAAGAAGTCATGTATGAATTAGACATGAGCAGAAATACCCTCCCACGGACACGAGGCCCCAGCTGACTCTGGGGGGGTCGTCAGCTCTTGTGGGGTTAAGCAGCTTTCCAGGGCTGGATTGGAGGAATGGAAATGATGGGAGCAGGGAAGGCAGCTATCCTCGGCCAGTTGATTCCAGCGACGTGGACTCCGCAAGGTCTGCGCTTTGACCCTCCCTGCAGCCTGGCAAAGAAAGTAGCTGCCCAGACTGCCTTTCCCAGCAGAGACTCAGACAATCTAACGGGAACACCAGGCTGGGTGGTTAGGGACCCTGGGCCGTGGAGGTGCACTGATGTGACCCCACACACGGCAAGGGAGGCTGAGAGCGCTTAACCAGGCGGCGAGAGGCCATGGGGAGGCCACGATCCCACGCCCTCAGACAAGGCTGATGCATTTAACAGGACAAGTTGCTACTGGGAATAGTTCAAAGTGGATCACTCATCTGGAGATGCAACTTGTATCATCATTTTCATTGCTTTTTGGGGTGCAACATTTGTTTTCCTTATTGGACTCTGCAAGGACAAGCTCCAGGGCTGCTGTATTCACCACGTTGTGTTCAGCAGTGCTCAGCCCATAGTAGGCGGTTTGTCTCTACATCGTGGTCGACTGACAACTGGAGGGCCCAGATCAAGTTCCTTGGCGAGGGGTGAATGCAGAGCTGGCTGTTGAGCCACCCATGGGTGCAAAGCTTGACCACACAGTGCTACCGGTGGGGGAGAAAGCGGGCTTGCTCAACACTAGGGGGCGCGCTGAGACAAGAGGCGTCCTGCAAGTCACCACCCTGGAGCTGGTGCCTAGGACAAAGCTGGGTGGGCCAGACACAGAGCCGGGGTTGGGGCAGCTCTGCTGGGCATCCTAGGTAGGGCTCCAGGAAACTGGCCAGCCCCTTTTAATCATTAAATGAGACATTTGCAAATGTTCCAGGTGAGTGAGGTGGCTTTCCACCTCTCAGTGTCAAGGATGAATCTGATCACACAGCATGGGAGAGGCAGGGAGTGACAGAGTGAGACCCTTGAGGCCCTGGCATCCAGAAGCAAGCCCAGGTTTCAACCCACCTGGGACGGGGGAGATTTGAGCTGTGGATTCAGGAAACGGCGCTCTGGAATCCACTACTCTGTGTGCACGGAGTCTCCTTTTCCATGCCCTTCCAAGTCGAGGATCATGGAGTGGGGTAGTTTTTCCAGGGGACCTTCTCCTGGAAGATGTGGCACTCCGCTGCCAGCTGACCTTGTCTCAAGAACTTGCCATGGCCTTGCTGCACGTGATCTTGGATACGTCCACCCAAGCCTGTATCCCTGCCCTCCTCCGAGTGGCCTTGTGTCTGCTGCCTCTCTCTGCTCCCCATCTCCCATCCTATCTCATTGCAAAGGAGTATCTTTTTCTAAAAAACAAGGGAAACTATTTTTTATGATGTTCTTTTGGTTTTGTTTGAAAAGTAGAGAAACAGATGCCCCAAATGCCTGCAACCACCAGGGCTGGGCCAGGCCAGAGCCAGGGACCCGGAACTTTTATCTGACTCTCCCGTATGGGTAGCTGGAACCCAAACTCTGCTTGATCCCTTCCAGGGCGTGCGTTGGCAGGAAGCAGTTAGCTGAACCAGGAACTCTTGACATGCGAGGTGGCTGTCCTGAGAGGTGACTTAACTGCAGTACTACATGCTTACCCCTCAACTTTTCACATATTTGGGGGTGGGTGGGTTGGAGTGGAGACAAAGAAGCACAGAAACAGGGACCACCACCACCCTGTGGGTCCCTGCCTGAACATCTACAAAGGCCAGGCGGGGCCAGAGCGGAGTGCTAGGAACAGGTCTCTCACCTGGTCTCTCAACTCCCAGGGTGGGGGCACCGGCAAGAAGTCGGAGTCAGGAGCAAGACCTGGGAATTGAACCCAAGTACTCTGATGGATGCAGGCGTCTTTTCACAGCTAGGCCAAACACTTTCTCCTGAAAGCTTTAATAAATTTTTTTTAGTCCTCTTGCTGTCTGGCTAATGCAGGACCCAGATTAACCAGCTACCCACAGGCACAGTTAGATACAATTGGAAAGGCTGAACCATAGCAATCTGGCTCAACTAGTCAGTCAAAGGTGCTGAGGTCAGGAAGACCACGGTGGGCTGGAGTGTCACAGCAAGATGGGTAGTTGGGGGGATTCTGGCCACTTTGTCAGAGAGGCTTATAGCTTAGTGTGGACTTCCCCCAGGCACAAGGTGGAAGCTCAATGTTCAGGCACACGGGACCCCAAGAGGATGGGTACAAACGCAGACAGATAAGGGGTTACGGGAACTGAGGCAGAAGGGGAAGGGTTCCAACCCAGTCATCCTAGGAGAGGAGCTGAGGCTGGTCACTGTGAATGTCTGGGTCTGGGAGGGGTCTTGTAGCTAGCAGTTCTGCAAGAGCTCCGGTGGAAAGGAGGTGAACAGCAGCTGGAACCAAAGGCAGCTACGTGAAGAAGATGCACAACTGATGGGGAGAGACCTGGTAGGGTTGGAACAATCTGGAATTTTGTCTTTTAATTGAAAGGCAGAGTTTGAGGAAGAGGGGCAAGATCTCTCTGCTACCCTATTCCTGCCATGTCCAGGGCTGGGCCAGGCTGAAGCCAGGAGCTCCATCGGAGTTTCCCATGTGGGCAGCGGTGGCCCAAGCACATGGACCACCTTCTGTTGCTTTCTCAGGCACATCAGTGGGCAGCTGGGTTGGAAACAGTAGCTGGGACTCATGGGATGTTGGTATCCTCAGCAGTGGCTTAACCCGCCGTGCCACATGCCAGCCCCTCCCCTCAGCTCCAGTCTTTTGAGCTGGGACATGCAATCTGAGTGACACACTAAAGGCTCATGTTGGCCACCGAAGGATGCAAGATGCCACCAAGAGTCAGGCGGCTACTGCAGCCTTGAGAGATGCACGGATTGGAGCAAGCCCGAAGAGCACACCTGCTGACAGTTGATGGTTGCCTCCGAGGAATCAGCTGGACAGGCGGATGGGACCCCACGGTCGCACCCATACACGTTGTAAAGAACAGGAAAAATTTGAGAAAAAAGGAAAAGCTATAAATAAGTACGGTTTTTCTTTTCAAGCTATGCCTACTTCTTAAGAGGCGTTACTCTTTCACTGCATTCTATTTGAAGCATTGGTTATCAAGACTTACATCTTTGCATTATATTTTTTTTTTGTAAAAAATCACTTCACTTCATGCTTTCCTTGAATGAAGATGTACTTAGCTCCTCTTCCCCACGAAATGACAGCTTCGTTTATTTTCTAACTAGTGACTTTCCCGCAGTTTCTGTCCTGATGGGGCAGCAAGTGACCAATTGCTACCCCTCATGTACTTGCTGTCCCTGAGTTTTTGGCTTTGTCAGTTATACACGCGTGCACACAAGTTCTGATAAAAATGTCTTCGCAAGCCTTTGCCTTTTTAAACAAAAGATGTGCCATATATATTTATTAAGTCATAGAAAACATTTGTATACAAATTTTTTTCCACTCTTGAAGAAACTGGGTTATTCAACAGCTGGGTAACAAAACAGCTGAAAGATACATCTTAAGTAGAGATAAATTTTAAGTTGTCACATTGATTTGAAAAAAAAAAAAAGCCCTGAAATAATCAGTAACAGTTTTGGCTCTTCCCACGTTTTAGGCCACAGGAGTAGTACCGTTATCTTCAATTTACGACTTTTTTTAATGACTTAAATCAACCATGGAGTTTAAAAGATGATTAACTTGCACACCAAACAGAAAATCAACTTTTTTTTTTCCTTTAACCTATGCAGGCGTTTAGAAGACTGAACGCCAAAGTCCAGGAGATGACGTACATAACAGTGTGGAATATATTTCAGAATAAGTTAAATATTAAAGACATACAGTATGGTGATAATGTCCTAGGCTTCCTACTCAGTAAATCCCAAGTTCATCCTAACGGAGGCTAAGGGGCCCATTGACGCCGACGAGACGCACAGCCACGGCCGTCAGAATCGCATCCCCCCCAGACAACTGCTTCGGTGGAATGCATAAGTGGCTCTGGCCGACTCTGGCTCTCACTCACTCCCCGGGGCATGATCCAGACGGGCTGACTTCCAGGTCCACTGGGCCAAAATGGGCAGTGATTCTGAAGTCTAAGGTGTCACCTTCTCAGCAGTGATCGGAGGTGACACACCAGATACTCACATGACAAATACAAATTAAATAGGATTGCGTCCCTTTCAATTAAACTGGATACCACTATGTTTAAGTGCATGAGGTACTTCTCTCCTAGCCTGAATGTGTGTCACAGACCCACGGTGGATAAGGGACATGTCAGTGGCCAATCTCGTCCTCCTCCGAGAACTCGCGGGAAGGACACGCCTGGGGGTGGGGACAAGGAGGCCCCTACCTACTCTAAGCCGAGGGGTTGTCTCGGGAAGTCGTTTACCCAGACTCCAGCCTGGATTCCAGACTCGGCAGACGACGCAACTGAAAATGGGATCTTTGGGACTGCTATGTGTTTACTGCTATCTTCTCTGGAACCCTTAATTTGACCCTGAACACTGTAAGCCACACTGGCAGCTGCTCCCCGGTCCTGGGCCCCTCACTCCCCAGCGTGGCTCTGCAGACCTGGAGCTCTCTTGGAAAACGTGTAAACAAATGTGGAGGTGGGGGCGGGGGAGTGTTTCTGAGTTTCCTTCCTGTCAGTGAGCAACCTCTCTGCCTAAGCAACAAGAATGGGCAGGGCTGCCCCCCAATGGCAGCTTCCCATGGAGTCTTACCCTCCTCTCATCCTGCGGAGAACGGGCCCAGTTTGTCCCAGATGGCATTCAACAGTCAGAAATGTTTCTTTGGACTCTCCTGATTCCTGTATCACGACCACGGGCTCTCTAAGCCAGCTCGGTCTGCCTCTGTCTCCTCACTGGAGGTGAGTGGGAGAGGAAGACAGGCTTTTGTGCAGGTTGGGATTCTGGCTGTGCCTGTTCCGGCTGCGGACAGATGAGAACATGGTGTTGCAGCCCGGTACCTTACACTTGTGGAGTTGGCGGAGGTGCACGGTTTTATAGTGGGCCCTGAAGGTCCCTTTGTTGCTATATGTCTTTTGGCAGAGGTGACAGGTGATGGGCAGGCCGGGAGGCAGGCTGGCAAGGCTCTGGTCGGCCTTTTCCAGCAGGACACAGAGGGGGTACTCCTCCTCTCCGGGGACGAGGCCAGGCCCGTCACAGTGGCCGTCACTGTCCATCAGGAGCGCGGGGCCCTCCTCGCTCGCCCCTTCGGAGTCCCAGGAAGAATGACTGCTGCTCTCAGACTTCATGCTGGAGGTAGTGCTTAAGTCCAGGACGGTGCCCTCGCTCAGGGGGCCGGCGCCGTAGCCCTCCAGGTTGGCCTCGTGGACCTGGGGGATCGGGTAGACCAGGCTGCCCATCCGACCCACTCCCTTGAAGATGACGGACGTCGGGGAGGCCTGCTGGGCCAGGGCCACATCCTGATAAACTTCCTTGGCCACATCTTTCAGAAGGTATGCGGCTCGGAAGTGGTCTTCGGGGCCCTCCACGGCTTCAGGGTCCAGGACTTTCTGGTGGAGGCTTAGGTTGGAACTGTGTCTGCGAGAGGGAAAAGATGGTTAGCAAGGAGTCCGGCTGCTCTTCTGGACAGACGTCATTCTCAGGAGAAAAAACTGGCACATGCGGGGAGAAAACCACGGCATGGGAGAAGTGATGATGTAGGGCTAGTCCCCTGGGGGTGTAACGTGTATGCTGGCCCCCCACGGGTCACTCTGTAGCAAGCTGGCACTCGGCAGGAAAGTGATCAGCCTGGACATGGAGACTATGCGGCTCTTCAATTTCCACAACCCAACCGATGTGTTAACTTCCTATACCTCGTCTATAGCGAGAAGACTAGACTGATCCTACTAGGCCAGTGTAACTGGGGTGCTGGAACCAGGAGATCCCGGAGGACCTGACTTGGCTGAAACCAGGAAACATTTTCTAGAGCTGTATTTCCCAATGACATCCAACAGCCCCACTGCTCTGTGGAGCACCTGAAATATGGCCAAGGCCAGAGGCTGAAATACTTTTTTTGGATATATTAAACTAAATGCTTTCAAAACTTACCCTATCCATTTCTTCATCTTTTTCTGTGTGTGTGTGTGTGGTGGCTATTACAATATTAAAATTTGGGGGCAGGGCTCATGTTATGGTGCAACTCTGCTCAGAACACCTGGATCCCATATAGGAGTCTTATTTGAGTCCTAGCTACTCTGCTTCAGATCCAGCTTCCTGCTGATGTGCTTGGGAAGGAAGTGGAGGATGCTTGGTCCTTGACAGCCCCCAGATGCGGCTGCATGCTCCTGGCTGCAGCCTGGGGCTCAGGTCTCCCTATTGTGGCCAGTTAGGGAATGAACTACTGAATAGAGGATCTCTTTCTTTGACACTCTTTCCAATCAATCCATCTTTACACATTTTTTCCTATATGACTTAACATGGCATGTCTATTGTTCTAGAGTACTTACATACATGTTACAGGTGTGGGTGCAAGTACGACTGGCCCGAGCCGGTGCTTGCAGAGCTAACTGCGTGGTTCGGAGCGTATGTGCAGCAACTCCCTCTGTGCCAGACAGAAGTTTTGCCAAGTGCAGCAGTGTGATGGCACCGCCCATCTTCCACCCAATGATTACCTTTGATGGGCAGGTCATGAACAACCATGACAAAACTCGCCTTTTCTGCACATGTTATCATTCTGATGTAATGTGTAAATCCAGAATGTCCTTGCTCCAAGATTCCCTGCTAACTTCTGACAGGCAGAACCTCCCCTTCCTGAGGGGGTACAATCTTAAAGTTCATAGGAGAATGATCTCAAACAGAGACCATACCTTTCCTGTCACGGACCAAACTGTGAGCCTGGGTCAGGCTGGGAAAGACAAGCAGGCAAAGACTTGGATCTTCCAAATCTCCAAAGACATGTGTGTGAGGGAGGCTTATTTCTTAAAAGGTGTAAAATAGACTACTCACTTTATCTCCTTAACGTGTTTTTTTTTTTTTTTTTTGCGGGGGCAGGGTACATAATCAGCATTAATTTCCAGATCACCCACTTTTGCAAGCCGCTCTTCTGGGCTACAACTGCCTGTCCTGTGATTACGGTCAGGGCTCTGGATGGAAGGGGCTGGTGTGTGTCAGTAGAAAAACAGATGCGAAATTGACACATAGGTTCCAGCACCCTCAAAGAGGTAAAAAAAAAAAAGACATACACAGTCACTGGAGCCTTGTACAACAAAGGAAACCTCCAGCCCCTCTGCCACACTCTGAAGTATCCAACAGATACCCAGCGCTGATGCGGGGAGGGGGTCCTTTGCATCCTCTCAAGCCGAGGATGGTTAGCTCTTAGCCCTCCCACTTCCTCTGTTACCCTTTCCCCTAAAACCAGTGAACACCACAAACACAAACGCTCTCTGCATCCCACACTGGGTTCCGTGTTCCCAGGACTTTGCTAATCCTGTGTCCACTCCTCACGCCTCTCCCCTTTGGTCTCTGTCACCCCTTCCCTTGGTGTCTCCCATTTCCGACTGGCTGACATCAACAGTTCTCAAGGTGTTGCCCTGAGTGTCCCTGGGGACCCAGACCCTTCGAAGAGAATTTCATAATGATACCATAATGAAATATTCATAATGACGCTATGTGTATTTCCCACTTTCACTGAGTACAGTGGCGTGGTCCGGAGGCTCTCTGATGTCACACTGCAATAGGCAGAACCCAGAGGTGGCGGGGACAGCCCAGCTGGCTTCTGCTAAGCCAGACTTCACAGAGATGCGTAAAAAAGGTTCTTAGCACACTAATTTTTTTCTTTGGAAAATGTACTTTTTTTTTTTAAGCCAAAAAAGGTTTATTAGTCTATACTATTTCTATTGTTATTTAAAGTGATAGAACATTCATTTTTATGTTTCTTCTCTAATGTGGAAAACATGGGTTGACATAACCCAAACAGAGAAAAGCTCTTCTGAGCCTGTACTGTTTGTAAACGGGGGTGGGGGAGCTGTCTGTGAGACCACGATGGCAAAAAGCTGTAACAGGCCTTGATCTGCCCTCTTCTTCCAGGAAGCCCAGCTGCTCAAGGAGTATGGTTGGGCTGCCCCCACAGCGGTCTACACACCCTCCATATTGCATAAAATATATAAAAATGTACTATTCAACTTGTTACAGTCTCGTACAGGTCTTTTTTCTGGACGCGATCAGAATTATGCTGCTAGACACAGGCTTGCTAGCAGCTCTTCTCAACACCAACTCTGCCCCAAGTGTCTGCACACTGAGCTGTAATCTCGTTTCCTGGTCCGTTTCCCCTACCGCACTGAAGGCTCCCGAGGGCAGGCCTTGTGTGCCCTCACAAGGTTCCTGTTAAATAAACAACCAGGATGCGATCCCAGCCCCTCCCTGGCGGGCCTTCTAACTGGCTGGCAGCAGCGGCGGCGGCACAGAGCAGAAGTGAGCCACCCGACAGCAACATGATTTTCACCTTTAGCTCGGAGAAATGCTGCTGAGCCTGGTCCTGGCCCCAACGTCCTATTTAAAATGGTATTACTTTATTCTTTCAATAATCCTTTCAATTATTATTCTTTCAATAATAATGCCGGATGGGGAGTGGGGAAGGGCGGAGACGGGGGAAAAATGGGAATGACTAAAACAGTCAAGGTGCCCATCTCCTTTTCCAGTCTTCAAATGTCTGCAAGAGCCAGGGCGTGAAATCCAGGAGCGAGGAACTCAGCCCACATGGCTAGCAGGGACCCCAATGCCCGACACATCACCGCTGCCTCTCACGTCTGCACTGAGCAGCAAGTTGGAGGCGGAAGCCAGACCTGGAGATACAATCCCAGTTCTCAGAATGGGTTACAGGTTTTCCGACCACTGTCTTACTTCTAGGCTGTCTGTCTGTCCTTGGAAATGGCATCATTATCACAGATTCTAAGTAAATGCTATCTGAGTTGTAGACCACCGGAAGTCATAGTTCTAACTTAGAATAAAAGACCGCTTCCTTTGGCGGTTGTGGTGGTAGGGGCCTACAGTATCTACAGGTGGGTCAGGACAGTTTAAGAAGGTATTAGATGGGCCTGACGCGGTGGCGCAGTGGTTAAAGGTCCTCGCCTTGCACGCCCGGGATCCCATATGGGTGCCGGGTCTATCCTGGCAGCCCCGCTTCCCTTCCAGCTCCCTGCCTGTGTCCCGGGAAAGCAGTCGAGGACGGCCCAAAGCTTTGGGACCCTGCACCCGAGTGGGAGACCCGGAAGAGGCTCCTGGCTTCGGATCGGCATAGTATCGGCCGTTGTGCTCACTTGGGGAGTGAATCATCGGACGGAAGATCTTCCTCTCTGTCTCTCCTCTCTGTCTATCCGCCTTTCCAATAAAAAAATAATAAAAATAAATCTTTAAAAAAAAAGAAGGTATTAGACAGTGATAAAAACAAATAAAAGAGTATCTGACATATGCCTTCTAACCAAGCAGTGGAGCCTAGAACAGTACCCTGAATGCCAAGGACAATCTGACATGACTCCCCTCGCTTGTAACAACAGTTCATTCATGAACAAACCCCCCCTTCTCCAGGAGGGCCAAGGAGGAGGGCTGACTCACTAATTAGGGTCCCCCAGTGATTTAACATCCTAGCAACAGGAATTTTCACTCCTATCTTCCTGCGCTTGCCTCTCTGTTGAAGACAATGAGGGTGCTCTTCAGGAGCCCTCTCCAGGAATGTGTGTGGGAGTGATACATTGGTACATGCTCACCCTCCTAACGAGGCCGGGCGTTACAGCTGGGGTTCATGGAGCGGGGTAGTGCTGAACCCCTGCCCGTCCAGCTTGTTTGAGTGAACATAGCGTTCCACCGTCTTAGCAAGGAGGGGAGGAGGAAGGGAGAGAAGGGAAGAGAGAGATATGGAAACCTAGCATCTTTCAACCACACCTCACAGCCCCTCAAACCACCTGCCAATTGCCTTTCTTCTTCAGTAACTTAGCATTCTGGAAAAAAAAAATCCTCAACCAGGTTGTTATATTCCTTTCCACGTGTTAGCTGGATAACTGGGAAGCAGAGAAAATGTTTCCCCAAAGCAGACAAATTTGGGGAAACGTAGTAACGACTCACAAAGCTTTTTGTCTGCTCCACCCCCTCCCCCCTGCCCCAGTTTAAAAACAGCTGCCCAGGTTGCTGACATGAGACCTCGTTCACAATTCATTCTGCAGCACCTGCCACCCCCTGCCACCCCCTGCCCCCTGCAACCCCCTGTTCCCTTGCCCCCCTGCCACCCCGTGCCACTCCCTGCCCCAGAGCCAGCTGTGTGTCTGAATTCAGGATTCCTCAGACTTCAAAAGAGCAGAATGGTGCGTAGACTGAACTATCACATCAGTGTTCCTATCATAAATCCCCTAATGTCCTGGACTGAAACTAGGCAAAAATCCACACAAACGGAGATTAAAAAAAAAACAGCCTCATTATTTCACATGAGATTTTGCAGGTGAATGCGCTTCGGTTTTCTGTGAAAAATCCACACACCCTGTGGGTCCCAGGGCAGCCACGTCAGCATCTCTCCTCCCTCCCTCCCAGCTCTGTGTGAGAGATGCAAGCCCCCACCCTCCAGCCCGGGGCCGCCCTGCAGACCCGCTCCAGCAGGAATGCCAGGGGCAGGGCGCACATGCCTGTGTTCTAAACAAGCCTGCGGCTGATCCCGGCCGGCGCCTGTTAAACCCTCGAGCCGGGGCTGGAGGAATGCTCCCAGCGGATGCCTTACCTGTCCCTGCTCCTGCGCGAGGGGAAGGTGGCGCTGCAGCCCTCCACCGTGCACGTGTGCGTTTCCTTGGTGTGCGTGTTCTTGTAGTGCAGTTTCACACTGCAAGCGTTTTTAAAGGCCTTCTTGCAGATGTCACACTGGAAGCGACTTTCCTCCTTTGGCCTGGCCAACGCGTGCTGACCCACGCGTTCCAGTTCTTTAGACTCTTCGAGACAGGGGAAAGGCAGTCCCCTGCCGGACAGAGCGTTGAACAGTCCTCCGGCTAGCAAATGCTGCTGAAGTTCCACGTAGTCCACGGGGAAAGGGAGCCGGGACTCCACGCCTGGTGGGAAGTGGTGCTCCCGACCACTGTCCTGGACCTCCCTGGTGGGTAACATGTTCAGCGTGGGCTTCTGCTCACTCTCCCTCTCTGAGCTGTGTGTGACTTGTTCGGGGGTTTGGCTGAGGGCTCGATCGCACTGGATCACGGCTTCGAGGTGGCAGGGCCGGTCTCCTTCAGGGCGTGGTTGCCCTAAACTTCCTGCCTGCACGTGCTGCTCCTCGGGGGCCCTGTCGGAGCGAGGGCTGCAGGTCTCGGGCTCATCTTCGCTGACCACCTGCAGGGGTGTGTCTTCATCGGAGCTAAGGGTGTTCCTCCTCTCCTCAGCTATGTCCACAGCTTCCTTCTCTATTTTGATGGGCATGCTAGACTTGCGGGATTTTTTTTTGGGAAGAGCGTCGAATGACATTTCGTGAGAAACCAGCTCTTCTGGGATGGAAGAGGAGAGTAACGGGAGAGAAGGGAGCATCCCGGGCGTGTTGGCCAGCTCAGCGGGGGTGGCCGGGCTACGGTAGAAAGGCAGGACCGGCTGTACTGTCTTCAGGTTGGGAAACAGCACGCCATTCTGCCCGATGCTCGGGAAGGTTGGCTGGCTTTTGGGATCCTCCCCGGATCCCGGGTAACCCGGGAGGGACCTGCAGTCTGGAGGCACCACGGTGAAGGCTGGGTGCTTGTAGTTCTCAGGGCCGGCCAGGTTCAGGCTGTTGCGGAGATCCTTGTCCCGGTTATTCCTGTTCATGGGCATGTGCAGCCGAGGGTTGGGGTTGGCGCTGTGGCGGTTCCGGCTCCTCAGGGAGCTGAACACCATGTTGCAGCCTTCGATGGTACATTTGTGCTTGATCTTGAGGTGCACGGCGTTGTAGTGGATCTTGAGGGTGCCCTTGTCGTAGAAGGTCTTCTCGCACGCCGTGCAGAACACCCGGCCCTTCTTGGTGCCCAGGCTGTTCCTCTCTGGCTTCACTTTGGCCTCGGGAGACAGCTGTGTCCTTTCCAGCTTGGCGACGAGGCTGTAGGAGCTGGAGTCACTTAAGTGGGCACAGTCCTCCTTTTTGGTCATGTCGTCGGGACAGGTCACACACTGTTCTTTTTCGATCTGAAACGGCGGGGGGCTGGAAGTTAAATAGCTGCTGTTGGCGAAGGGCCCATGGATTTCGGGTTTGGGGTCTTGGCTTTGGTCCTGAGCCTGCTCCAGCATGTACTGTTCGGGCAGTGACCCTATGAGCGCGGGAGGCAGGGGGTTGAAGAACTGGAAAGGCAGCATGAAGGTCATGTTGCTGATGAGGCTCTCAAAGGGGTGGATGCCGCCAGGGTTTCCTCTGTCCACAGTGGCGGGCAGACCCGAGCTCCTGTGGCCACAGCTCTCGATGAAGGCTCTGAGGTCAGCCGGGGCGGGCGGCAGCACCACCGACTGCTCCTCCTTCTCTTGAATGGCCATGAGCTCCACTATGGACTTGGTCTCACCGAAGCGAAGGAACTGCTGCAGGGTAGCCACCTCCTCCTCGCTGGTCATGATGCTCCAGTGATCCAACACCTTTCCAGAGGCATCCTACGGCAGGTGTGTGAGAGTGGGAAGTAGGGAGGTACGGTTAGCGCGTCAGAATGGCACCCATGAAATCTTCTCTTGATATAAAGAAAAAACACCCAGGTGATCTGTTTAACTCTCTTGACTTTTCTAAGGAAAGTAGCCCTGGGGGTGGGACTGTCATCAAGTTCAAGGGCCCTCTCTATTCCTCAGACAAAGGTACCCCCACCTGGATGAGAATGGGGCTCTGCTGGACCAGTCTTTGAGTGAAACGTAAATTGCATTGCTGGGGTGGGCTCTACCCAAACTGCATTGCTGGGGTGTGTTCTGTGATGGTTTAGAGGGAAGAAATAAAATGTTACAACTCCAGCTGAACCTAGGGGAGCTGGGTAACCATTTTCACTTTATTTCCAATGAACTGGTTTATCTTTCATTAGGCACGATAATTTTTCTCCCAGTACACGTAAAAATAGGTATCATTTAGATAATAATTAACAATAGCATCTTCTTTATCAAAAGGCATAGATGGAGCAATCAGGCCTAGGTATAGATCGAGCATCCGTTTTCTGCAAGGTTAATAATCTTCCTAAGCAACTAACATCAGAAAAGAGATGAACCTGTATTGATCTATTGCCCGCGTTCACAGAGCAGAGCTGTAATTACACTGGAGTGTTGGAGATCTTTCAAACTCTAAGGAAGGCCTAACTTTTCCCAAAACTACAATAAATATTTTATCACAGAACATGTATTTGATGGCCTACTGAGATTTTTCACAGTGCATGGAAGAGTTTTGAAGATGATGAGGGATGTAGCATCATCAATTTTTCATGCTCCAGAGGTTCAAGGTAATTGATTCTATATTTTTAATCCTAACACTAGAAAGCAAGATTATTAGGATCATTAAATATTGATCTGTGTCATTATGTAAGATCATAATGCTACTCTCCATAAATGGTTGCCTCGAGTTGGCTGGGGGTCCTGCACGGAGGTGAACAAACCTGATTCTAGGAAAGAGTATGGGTTTTATGCTTAAGCGGAAGTGAGTTCGAATGACTTTTAGCAGGATTTTGAAGTTCTGGGAGTCTCTGGGTTTTCAACTGGAAAATAAGACTAAAATACTTAGCCGATTACTGGAAGAATACCTGGTTGTTGTCTGTGTTTGTTTTAATAAGATGGCTCACTTGAGTGAGACTGAAATCTATGTGCATTTTAGAAACCATATTCATCCATATTCATTCCTATCTCATCGAAATTTTCACTAAGGTTAGCTCATGTTTTCTGGTTGCACTGGCATGAGGAAAGAAAATGCTTTCACTATTTCCAATTTCAAGTGAGTGACTCAAGTCCTTCCAGGAAATATGTTATCTTACTTTTAAAAATACCTTAATGGGTCTTTGGTTATGAGGCCTAAGGCCACACCATCACCTGGGAAGAGATCAACGACTGTAAGATAAAGACAGAAGAGCTGAACATCATAGAACACTGGAGAACAGAGCAGGCTGCCACGAGAGAGCAGGGGAGAGAGTGAGCAAGTGCGTGGATGCAGGAATCTGACAAGAAAGACCAGCAGTGGGATGGCTCGGAGCTCTGAAGAACAAGAAGGTGTGGTAGAAGAGGTGGCTTCGTCAAGATTCACATCACAGATAGCAAGGGCACTTTAAAAAGTCCATGGGAGAGCCAAGTGCAGTAGCCTAGTAGCTAAAGTCCTTGCCTGTGTGGGAGACCCAGAGGAGGCTCCTGGCTTCGAACTGGCTCAGTTGTGCCTGTTGTGGCCACTTGGGGAATGATCCAACAGATGGAAGATCCCTCTCTCTGTCTCTCCTCTCTGTAAATCTGACTTTCTAATAAAAATCTTTTACAGAATTAAAAAAAATAAAGCCCATGGGAAATGCAAAGATAAGGTCACCTTGGTAAAAGTTAACTTTCCAAAATTCATATGTGGATTCTCGCTTCCTGAGGAATGCTCCCTCATATGAAGTTTCACTGATAGTTTGAGGGATAGCTCAGGACTGCCCTGAGAGCATAAATTAACAGAAAAAGGATTCCAGGAAAGGATGACTGCCAAAGACTTTCAGCCAACCGAGCTGTACTGGCCACATGGGTTTGGGGGACACAGGAGAATGGTGGCCAGGAGAATCGTGTACCTGCAGCACGTATCCCCGGATGTAGTCCTGCAGGGTCCAGTCCAAGGCATGGAGGATCTGGAGGACCTCATCTTGCTTCAACACACTGAAGAGCCGGTCCAGCAGGATTTTCAGGCGAACTGGGATGGCCTGAGTCCCATAGAGCATCAGGCTGCTGATATCAAACACGACGTTGGACTGAACAATCTCCACCTGGCTTGTGGGATACACAGGAGGGATCCTCAGCTTGCTCAGAGCTGAAAATAGGAACAGAAGAGCATTTTGCCAACATCTCATTTTTGAGAGAGAGAGAGACACTATACAGAAACATTAGAGCCAACATTTGTTTTCTGTTTTACTGGGGCAAAGACCCATAACCACAGATGAGACCAAGGGCCTTAAACACTATCGGGCTTCAAGTTATTCCCAAGAACTTGTAAATGACAACTGATGGGCTTGGAATTTTCTCCTTTCTCTGTGGCATCCCTGGGAGCAAAACAGTCACAGGAACAAAAAAGAGCAAAGAAACAGAGGTGGCAGGTTCATGTTCAAGGGGATGGTCAATTGGGAAGGTCAGAGTCTCGGGGGGTGGGGGTTGAAGAACATGGATTTGGGAATCAGACACGTCTGGGCTGGGCTAGTTATCTTTTGTATTCCAGTTGCGAGGATTGACAAACCATCCCAGCAGGCAAGTGCAAATTATATAGGGACTAGCCATACACAGGGACTTAAATTTATACTAAAAGAAAATTATTAAGCAAAATTAGAAATTCAACTTTTCAGTCACACTAATTATATTTCGAGGACTCAGAAGCCTCATGTAGGGCTGTTGAATTTGGGAAATCAACAGATCCTCAGTTAAATTCAACTAGCAATCTTAGATAAGAAACCCCAACCAGTGGGATACTCATATTCTACAAACACTCACTGGGGCTTCAGTAGGCCAAAAAAGATATTCGCAGTGCATCTGAAATTCAAATTCATAACGAGGCATTCTCAGTTTCATCTGTCCACCCTGGGTTGGGGGAGCGCTTCCATCACTGTGGAACAACAGCATTCCAGCCAGTCTTTACATCTTTCGAATGCAGCCCACAGGACACCTCATCTGAAGAGTTGTTAAACAACAAACGGAAGCCTTAGCCAGTCTCCTGGCACACACTAGGAATTCGCTAGTTAGTTGGCATTCTTAGATATCAGATCGGTCCCCGAGTGAGAGATGTAGAGGGAGAAGAAAATTACCGTGGGCCACCCATCCGTGTCTGCACTGCTCACACTGCCGGTGGTTTATCTTCCCGGGTTTGAAACTCTGGCAGCTGCAGTTCAGAGTACAGCCGATAGCCTGCAAAAGAGAACACAGGTGTGCAAGGCGTGTAAGTCAGGTGTGGAACACACATTGTCTCCCCAAACAAGACACAGTCCTCCATCCGGCAGTGTGCATGGAGCAGCACATGCGTGCTCTGAGCCAGGCCCAGAGCTGTGCGGTGTGCCCTGGCCCGATGCCCAGGGCATGTGGACACATGACCTAGATAGTTCGCGTGGGGAATGGGCTACAGACACCGGGGCTTCTTACTGGAAAAGGTAACAGGTTGGGTGGAATGCCTCTGCTCTAATTTTTTTAAGACTTATTTATTCTTATTACAAAGTCAGATATACAGAGAGAAGGAGAGAAAGAGAGGAAGTTTTTCCATCTGTTGATTCACTCCCCAAGTGGCCGAAACAGCTGGAGCTGAGCTGATCCGAAACCAGGAGCCTCTTCTGGGTCTCCCAAGAAGAGGGTGCAGGATCCCAAGGCTTTGGGCCGTCCTCAACTGCTTTCTCAGACCACAGGCAGGGAGCTGGATGGGAAGCAGGACTGTGAGCATTAGAACCAGTGCCCATATGGGATCCCAGTGCATGCAAGGTGAGGATAATAACCTCTAGGCTACCATGCTGGGCCCTCTGTTTTTAAGAATACAGAAGAGATGAAGGTTCTATACCCATCAGAACCACGATCTTGACAGGTGCGTATGGAAGCATCCTGTAATGAGCAGAAGTGGGCAGATAGCCTGAGCTCCTTGTAATTCACGTGTGGACTGTTATCCTTCCGGCACCTGGGGTTCGGCAGGGACTGGAAACCTAGTTTCCAGCAGTGTCACGGTGGAGGATACTGAAGACTGCCCTCGCTGGACTGTGTGGCTGTCAGTCAGGCACAGGCTGCACGCCCAGCTGCTACAAAGCCCTGGCTGCATGTCCTAGTGTCCTGTTTAGGGTATGGGCACACGAAAATATGAGGGTGCTTCCAACATCTCATGTGGGGCAGCATGAAAAGCTGAGCTGATTCTGATGCGAGGCTTTGAAGTTCCACGCGTGTCACCTGACACGCATTCTCACGTACTTTTGGAAAGAACCCACCTATATACACAGACTATTTTTTTTCGTACCCAAATAAACTGTCTTCATCCCAGTTTTCCCCAAACTTCCTGAAGTACCCATGTATAACTCAAACATAAAACAGAGATGGAAATGTTCAACAAAGTTTTAGGTGTAAGGACAGAGTGTCAAGCAGATGTTTAAATGTGAGTTATTGAAAAAGTAGATAGAGGTCTGAAGGAAATTACTGATCATTAGAGATACCAGCCCTCTGAGCAGACCTACTGGCAAGGTTCCTGAGATCTGCATGATTACAGACAATCTTGGGAGTGAGGACCTGAGGAATGAGAAAAGATATGCCCCGAGGGACAGGGTGGCCTTGCCCGGGATCCAGGAAAAGAAGATCCTGGCTGAGGATTTGGGAAAAGTCACTTTAAGGAGCATACAAGTTGTGCTTATCCAAAAATCATTTGTGAGTGACATTCTACAATGGTACGGTCACTTTGAAAAAACAGTTTGGCAATTCCTCAAGAAGCCAACTGTCGAGTGGCCGCCTGATCCGGAAATTCACTCCTAGGTATGCACATGAGAAATGAAAACACATCGGCAAAAACGTTCCTAGCAGCGTTACCCGTGAGCGCAACTGGCAACAACTCTGATGTTTACTGCACAACGGAGAGATGCACAGAACACGGCACACCTACGGTATAGCCATACCATGGACTAGGATGCTGATACAAGGGAACGAAGTACTGGCAAACACCACAACACAGCCGGACCTTGGCAACATGGGGTGAAGGGAGCCAGGCACAGAAAGTCCTTAGCGCAGAAGCCTATGTAACATACAAGGATAGGTTCCTCCACACAGGCAGAGTGAGTGGCCTTACCCGGGGTGGGGAAGAAGGCACAGAAGGAAAGTGAGTGCCACTGGGAAAGACAAATGTTTATTTGTTCCCAGCTTTTTTTTTTTTTTTTTGCATAGTGTTATTTAGATGTAACGTACACATCATAAGTCTGCTCAATTCAAGCATGCAATTAAATTCTTTTTAGTGAAGGCTCTTTCTGGCTTAGTGTGTGAAGCGACCGCCTGCAACACTGGCATCTGATTTGAGTACAGGTTTGAGTCTTGGCTGCTCCGCTTCTGACCCAGCTTCCTACTAAAGCACCCGAGAAACGAGTGGAAGATGATGCAAGTGCTGGACCCTCGCAAACCTATGTGGGCAACCTGGATGGAGTTCTGGGCTCCTCAGCATTAGCCTGGCCTGGCCCGGGCTATTGTAGTCATTCAGAGATGGAACCAGTGGATGGAGGATGTCTCTCCCTCTCTGTGACTCTGCCTTGCAAACAAATAAAAGTACTAAAAAATACTTCAGTAGACGTATTAAAATTTATGGAACCTAATTTTATAACTCCTAATTTTATAACATTCTCATTATCCTCCCCAAAGAACCTTCTATACAAGTTTACAATAGAATATATCTTTATTTCTCTTGGGTTTGATCTTAGAAGTCACACAGCAACCCTACATTTATCTTGAGCAATTGTTGAACTGGAGCAGCTGCCATCATTCCACATCCCCAGAGGCAACCTATGAAGGTTCCACGCTTTCCACCTTCTTGCTAGGTAGTCTCAGGTCAGGGAAGTGGGCTGCTCATCACCAAGGTGGGCCGCACACAGCGACGGTACTCTCTAATTCCCGTGTGAGAGAGAGGCTGCTGAAAAACTGCAAGCGCGGAGAGAAACGATGCTCACACGACACCTCGCACAGAGCTGCGTGGGATCACAACACTGTTTAACTGGACTAGTGCCTGCACCTTCCCAAGGGACAGCATCCCCAAAGGACTGAAAGGGGCTTGGGGAAGGGGTGTCAATAAAGCACAGCCCCGCCCTCCAAACAAATCTACAGCACACAGTGTGATACTATTTGATAAACACAATTAGGAAAATAAAAATATTGAGCAACACTATCCTCATGCTAGAGATAGTTTTACTTTTTTTTTTGGTTACAGAGTTTCTATCTGTATGTATGTATACAAATGTATTAAATACAGGAACATATACATCTATGCCTCACCCATTTATATAGTTTTCCCTGGATGGAAGTCAAAGGATAAAAGTGAAGTTTAAGTTCATGTTACTCTGTCCGAACACACACTTTGAAAGGCATCCTTTGCTGTCATGCTGTCCAGCATGTAGTCTACCATTCTCTGCACACCAGCTCACACCTGACTCAATCATGCTATTTTCAAGTTATCAGCACACTTATAGTAAGCCTCTGGAATATTTCACGATCCAGATACTATAGCTACAACTGTTTCAAAGAAAACTTTTCCAAAAGGGAGAAAAAGTTTCCCTTAAGATCTTTCTTAACCTTAACCACACACACACACACACACACACACACACACACACACACACACACACACACACACACAGATGGACTTGGAGCACACATGCCTCCTCCACGCCCTGAGTTAACGGGTCCTGTTAACTCTAAGGACCCAGCAGGTGGCTGGATCAGGTGTGGTACAGCCACACCATCACACAGGGAACAGTTCCAGGCACGCTTTATGGCTGAGGACAGAGCCTTGCTTTACTGCATCTTTCATCGCTTGACTCAAGATGTCTCGGCTTTGGCGCTACTGATACTGTGGCTTGGGTAACTCTGTGGTGGGGGCTCTCCCCATCACTGTAGGATGCCTGGTAGCGTCTCTGGGCTCCACCCACCCAGATGCGAGCTTACAGCCCGCTCCCCAAGTTGTGACCACTGTCCAACCTAGATCGTTCACATTTTGACAGCTTCTAGTTTGGATACAGAATTTAAAAGAATCTAATCTAAAATTCCAAGGCATAAGCATTGATATGGTTCTGCATAAACCCACTTGAACAAGACTTAATAAATATCATTAAACATCTCTGGAAATAAATCTTGGAGGAATTATGAGCTAAAGAAAATCTCCAATGTCAAGGCTCTTGGCTTTTTCTACGCATCTCAAGATTTCACAATGTAATGAAATCCTAGCATCAATATCTAAACTTGTAAATATTAAAACTTTTAAAATGAAATCAAGTCCCCAAATCCTTTCGATAGGACAACAAGTACTCATGTAAGTCACAATGGAAAACCCTTAAAATATATATCCTTTCCTTTGAAATCTTAATACTTGCTTCATTCTTCAGAAATATAAAGCAGATGTTTATAACATTCTGGACTCATCAAGACATGATTTCACTTTTTATGCACTCACCATAATCAGACTATTTCCGGAACTGTTATTAGTCATGTTGATGCACTAAAAGTCAACACTGAAAATTCTGATGTGTTTTTGTCAGTCATTCATCTGAAAACTACTGACACACCTAATATGTGATAGCTGATTTGGTAACTTGCAGTCTTAGGACAGAAGGCCACAACCTAGTCTTCAAGTTTCTAAGGACTCCGCTTCTCAGACACCCCTCTACTGCCAGAAGATGAAGAGACGTTGATGTGGATTCCTGGCAGTGGGCTGGCCCAGGCTCCCAGCGGGTGGACGCACCAACACCCAGCATCAGACCGCACAGGTCCCTGAGAGGATGTGCCTTCCTAAGCTCAAGGGTAAAAAGCTGTTAATATCCCCAGCACCTGCAGATACCTTCATGCCACTGAAGCTAAATTCAGGGGGATGTTCTGCAGGGACTATACAGAAGCAGCGTGGGAAAACAGAAGATGCTTAGGTTGATTCAGTGCTGGCTCTTGGAGGGGAGTCATCTGTGACATGGCTGAGGCAGAGTTGAACTACAGACCCCAGCCAAGCAGCATGGCAGGCTCTGATTTCTTAGTCTGTAGTCACTAGTCACATGTGGCTATTTTAACATAACTAAAATCAAATAAAATTAAAGAAGATTCAGCTCATTGGTCACATTCCCAGTGCTCGGGAGCCACACGAGGGTAGCGGCCACCATCCTGGACAGCTTAGAGAACATTTCCATCATAGAAAAGCTTCACTGGCC